GAACATGGTTAGAATTAGCGTCAGTCAGTCAGTCACGATCGTCTATATATATTAGATACCATACGTTAAGAGATGCGTCAACATCAGTTGACCTAATTAAACGAATGCTTAAATTTTAGTGGTCCTACTATTGAATATTTCGTTTTTAATATACATTTTAATATATACTTGCATTTTTGTCCACGTGCATGCCCATTTGTTTTAAACATTCAATTGGGAGTTTGCCCGTTCAGGACGGGAATGGGAACAAGACAGCGAAAGGAACGGAGTGGGGATGTGTGTGCAAGGATAGAATCGCAGCCCGGGATGTTCTGTCATGCTGGCTTCCATCATGACTTAAAGATACGATTGGACCCAGTACTAGGCGTGCCTATTCTACAAATTCTCATCATATAAGACGTTTCAGTTGGAGTAATTTTGAGTCGCTTGTGACACTTGTTAAGAAACCACGTTTCTACCAAAGAGAAACCACGTTTCTCTTGAAACGTGGTTTTGTTTCGTTCCGACTAGCAGAGTTAAAAATACAAATTTTCGGATGCATCCATGTCTGCATCGCCACATATAACATGTCGGGATGAAAATAAACTGAACTTATATTTCCTACAGCATTATAATTGGAGCATACTCACTGCATTGATGGAAAATGTACTGGACTAACTATTATAACTATTGATATTATGTGAAGTAGAATTTCCTGCTCATGTTGACGGGGGTGACTGCACTCTCTTCAGGGCCGCCTTGCGGATAGCTTTGCCGGTATCTTGCTTCTTTCCAGGTTTTGATAATGTATGCGACTGATTCTTCCAACGTTCTGATCCCTTATTCTTGCAGTTTATCTTCAAGCTGCTCATCCGATATAGATTTCCTCAAGTTAGCTTTATCTTCCTTCTCAAACAATTCCAAGAAAGATTTGGGCTGTCAAAAGATCGTGGTGTCACAGATACTTGCTCTAATGCCGCTTTCATTATGGTCTTAGAATAGGGTTTGATAGCCAAAACTTCTCTTGACAGAAAAAAATCGTGCTCCCATGAGAATCTATGAAAAAATAAGTATAGGTATGAGGTTTTACTGTTGACGGTGTTCGTATCAACGGCAGAGCGTCTTTAATACCTACAACTAGTCAGCAATAGAAATCTGAAGAGAAATTATCTCTCTATTCAACCGACGTTCAGCTCAAAGTCAACTATTATTTCATGTCATTCGTCCAGCTCATACACAGAAGCTCACTGCACCGATTTCAACGAAAACATTACGCTAAGATACATATATGTCGTAATCTATATCACTCTATAATAATAACGCTATCTATAGATAGCACAATTCCACGAAGGAACCACTCTTCAGGACGGAATGATAAGGACTGAGTAGTCCACCCCCCGACGAACTCACACTGAGAACGAATGGGCGGGGCTTAATATCTGACGTAGTGGACGCACTTTGGTTCTCGTCAGGGGAATGAGGTTCCGCATACTCTCTAATGTCTGCGGAATAGACAAGTGGCCTCTATACCCCCTTAATTTCTTCATGCACCCTTTTGGGTTTCTTGTATCAAATTATTATGTATTGACATATTGGATTTGAGGCTATACGACCTAAGAGCAGATTTGGATGGCCAACAACTGCAGTTTTCAATAATTGCGCTGTCATCCTTGTCTTTAGACCCGATCTGCTGACGATCATTAATCTTAGTAGGCCTATTCATAACGAGGTGCTTCTTATTGACCATGAAATTAACGTGATGAACGTAAATAAACGTGATTTTCTGGTTGCAATCAAAATCCTGACATAAGGGAAATGATTTCCGCAAAAAGTAACTACTGCAATTTTAACTTAGGCTATGGACTTACGTTGCACAGGCACACAATGCCGATTACATCCCATTGATTTATAGTCTGTTAAACAAATAAAGATCCCTGGATTACAACAACTGAGATTAGGGACTTGCATTAGAAGAATTAAAAGCTTGTAATCCTTGAATAGTGCTGAGGCGGTACTATCCGAGGATGCTGCAGAATAGAACCATCTCTATTTAGCGTCATCATTAATTATGCGTATTGAAGTAGTCATGCGCGGTATCGACCTGAATAATTAAAAATAAGCTTTTGTTCTTTTGCCTGGAAACAAAAAAATAACATACAGAAGGTACGTTTTCGCAGGAAGGAAAATAAGTTTGACTTCGGTTGCGAGAACTGATAATTATGTTTTACTTGGGAGAATGTAAACGCGAGATATTGGTTCTGTGCCTAGCGTATTCTTACTTTCCAATTTAGAAACGAGGATATGTAGCAACTGCATGAAAGCTCGCATCCGCAGGATCGAGAAAAATCAAACTCCGGTTTGAAAATAATACCCATAAGAGCTCGGATCGATTCAGTAAGATCGAAAATGCTGAAACGCCGAAACAGCTCTAAATTGGTGTTTTAGGCACGGCTTTTGCAAAACAATATTTTTTTCCCACTACATAGCAGGCTATATCTAGACTTGATTATTCAGATCTGCTTGGCCAAAATAATAATAAGACGACCAAGGGAACACTATTTTCAATCACTCATGGCTCTCTTCACGATGAAGGCCTCGCGAAACAGCTGCGACCAAGGTACGTGGGGCGTGGACGATAGAGGAAAAGAGAAGGTATTTCCATTGGCAGGGATGAGAGAGGCTTGTGTAGGAGCGCACTTAATGCTCGTTCGCTCAGCAGGATTTTCTCCCATTGCAAAGGCACATTATTTAGGCTGAAAAAAGGCTATTGAAAATGTGTCTGTGCGATATACTCTACATGTATCTTATCTGTTTTGCTCGGTGTTATGGCTATATGAGGAAGCAGAATTACGTGCTTTTCGGGATATCGATTATTAAGTGGAGTGAAGCAGAGGGTGGTATAGGGTAACTTGGGGTAATATGGCCATTGGGGTAATATGGCCCTTCACAATGAATAACCTTACAGACTGAATAATTAGTTTGGGCGAATTAAAAAAAATTGTTCTATGGAAGAGTACATGCAATTGTCAAAATGCTTAAACCTGTTCATTGATCCAGTTCTCAAAGGAATTCGGGATACATTAATGTATTTAAAGTCATATGCGTGCGATTCTTTGACTCATGACCCTGAAACTAATATGAGTCTTGAGCAACTTAAGCGCATATTTCCTAATAGCAGCATGGATGGAGTAACCATTTCTTCAAAGTTCTTCTATGGTCCCTCCAGAATGCTTGTGCAAAGTGCTAGCCTCTTCACTCGCAGTTTGCAGACAGTGTTGTCAATCTTGTCATGCAAGCCAATATGGGGGAATATGACCATCTCGATTTGGGGTAATATGGACACATCCTTCATTTCCTGTTAGCACCGCATTGACCTACTGGTAGTGTCACCTTCCATTCATGTGGGATCTCTGTGACTGCAAAGGATCATCCAATGCACTTCCTCTGGGTAGACGTACTGCACATCTGGACGAAATATGCAGTTCATTAGGAGGCCGTGCATGAATAGATGATGATGCACCGCCTCCTGGACATCCGCATCGCTGATATACTCCAGATATTTTCTTGGCACGACATTTGAATCCAAGTAAATAACTCTTATACAAAAAATTAAAAGAGCTTCCTGTGATTTTTTGGCAATATTTATCAATGGCAAAAACTACGCAGCGTTTTCCTGCAATGTGATACCACTTTTTTTTACACTCGAAGGGTATGTTCACTTTAATTTATGATTGATCACTCCTCTCACACCCACAGTCTGTAGATGCAGGCTCCCAATCACGTGCAACGCTGCTCAAAGCCAAAAGCGTCACAATCCTGCTTTTTGCAACAGGTCCTTATCGAGTCAGATAATGTCGATTTCTTTGCTAGTCCTTGATACAGTTAATGAGTTCTCTTTCAACTGCTGAACCTTCCTTATTATATTTCAAGGTACTCAGCATGTTCCAGCATATTTAACACGCACATGGAAAGCCTTGAGTTTTTTTTTTTTAGAAGTGGCCATATTCCCCCAACAATACGGGTAATATGGCCTATTGGGACCAACTTTGAAAAGATTCATGCGGTTTTTTGCATGTACAGGGTGATTCAAAAGTCCTTGGACACCTTTAATCAAGTGTAGCATTCTCTGACGAAGACCAATTTAATTTCTGATTTGACCAGTGCAAAGATCACAAAAAACTAAACCAACCATGTTTTTATGTTTCAAAAATATCACCATTTGAGGCAATAACCTGCTTCAGACGTTTTGGGAAATCATTTACGGTTCTTCACAACTGATCAATCGACAATTCATTCCATTCCTTCAGCAGATCAAGCTTCAAGCTATTGATACTCTTGTGTGGCTTGCAGCAGACCTTGGCCTGCAAGTTGGACCACACACTGTAATCCAATGGATTCAAGTCAGGACTACTAGCAGGCCATTCTTCCGGGGAAATCAAGTCTGGAAAGTGAGTTCTGCAGAAGTCGATGGTGGATTTTGCCTTGTGAGCTGGCGCTGAGTCCTGCTGGAATGTCCAAGGCTGGGATTTGAAATGTTCTGAGACCAGGAGAGTAGCACCTTCTTCAACACACTCTTGATAGTAGCTGGCATTGATCTTGGTCTGAGGCTGCACGAAATGCAGGGGAGTTTTGCCAGAAGCACAAACACCACTCCACACCATCACACAACCTGGTTTTTGAACTCGATGGACATATCGCTGGTGAGACTTGAAAGAGGAAAGCTTTTTACCCCAGAGGCGATTGTTTTGGGGGTTGTAAGCTTGCTCTACAGTGAAAATTTTTTTTGTCAGAAAAAACAATCCTTTGGAGTGAGGACTGGTTAAACCGTTTGAGCAACTGGCGGGACTTTTGAACTTGTTTCTTCTTGTTGATCTCTGTAAGCAGCTGCACCTTTTGTTTTTTAAAAGGCTTCATGCAGAGCTTTCCCCTGATGTATCTTCAAAAGGTCTCTTTGTCCACTCTCAAGGTTTGCGCAAGCTTTCTTCCAGAATGCTCTGGATTTCGGTATAGCATTTGCCTGACTCGTTTCTGGAGCTTCTCATCCTGGAACACGGAAGGACGTCCACTTATTTGGCGATCTGCTGCTGATCCAAGCTCATTGTATCGCCGAATAATGCTGTAGATAGTAGATCGAGGGGTTTTGGTGACCTTTGAGATCCTGCTTGCTGGAAGACTACTCTGGTTTTGAAAAATCACTTCTTCTCTTTGATGTTTGGGAACCATATCAAGAGCTTTCGACCTGAAACTTGGAAGGCAAATAGATCTGTAGTAGATGTTGCTTCACTCAAAAAATCACCAGGCTATCACTTGCCCAACGGTTTTTCCAATAGGTGTCCAAGGACTTTTGAGTCACCCTGTACCATGCTTGGATTTTGCAAAGGAGATATGAATCAGTATTTTAGAAACATAGTAAAGTCTAATTCGACCTTGCTGGGCCTTTATGACCAGATTTCATTTTGTAGGGCCATATTGCCCCAAATTACCTTATGATTAGTACAGAGGTTTATAAAAAAAAAAGTGGCAGCAAGGCAACCTGGAGGTACATGAGGCCATGAGAAAATGTTCAATCGTCGTCCTACAGCATGCAGGCAATGGATACTCAAAGTAGCACATGACAGAAAATAATGGAAAGAAACTCCATTCTCGCGAGTTTCACAATACAGGATGTTCTAGAATTGACTGAACAAGAGGGGTTTCGTATCCGGGTCGCTCTCACCTAGGTCTCTGCTACCTAAGCCTAATGCGCAAGACCTACAAGACTGCCTTTCTAGGCCATAGACTTGGCAGAATACCTATGTTCAGTCAATTCTGTATACTGTGATGCACAGGACATGTACAGCCATTGCTTCTCCACCTCCTCCTCAGTTAAGCAAATACGTTGTTATGTCTTTCGCTTTGAATGATTTATTGGCACGCAATGCCAAGTGCCAAGCAATGATTCAGTTCATGCTGAGCCAATTAGATTTCAGACATCACCCCATTAATATCTAGGTGGACATGGGGTAAGATGTACGCTACAATATTATGAGCATTTCTGAACAGCATACCGAGAGAAGGACGCGCCCATGAAATACTCAAGCCTGTAGGCATGAAAACATTATAGGCTTTAATGGATGTGTTTCAAAAATGTAGGGTCGGTTGACTTGACTTAACATCGATGGCCACATGCCGCGGGACTCGAAGGCACTTTGACTCTAGTGACTGTGGAAGGAGCAAAACATCTTAAAATAGCGGTCGGTCAAGGTAAATTAGACGAACTGGTTAGCACGCCAATTATATTCTGCATGTAAATTTAAAAAAAAAATTCGGCCAAATGGAATATCGTATGTTTCTCTGCTAGGTAGAAAATACACAGATATGTACATGAATCTGTCACCCACCATCAAGAAGCAAATCACCACTTAGACTATATCAAGGGTCTTTAGCAGGTAACTCCGACCAGACAGCCGCCGAAACCAGTGCCAATCATTTAAACAAGTCACCGAGCGTGTCTAAAAGCTAGTCGCTCCTTGGAAAAGTGATACGGAGTTGAGAAAGCTTATATCCCTTTTATGCAGAATTTTTTCTTTTTGGCTATTTTTTTATTTTAATTTATTTTTGTATGCAGGACTTACAAGATGATTAAAACAGAAATCCATCACCTGCTCACAGTTTGATATACTTATGATGTTTTAGTGCTTAAAATTTCCACGTTTTGACTTAATACAGGGTGACCAATTGAAATTTTTACCGATAAATGGTCATGTACAACACAAACCAATGGACGGATAAGCTGAAACTTGGCATATAAACTACTGGCAGTATGGGCTTCTCAAATCTCCGAAGAAAAAGAGTGGCAACAGATAGCACCACTTGTGCATAATTTGCATGTCACATGGTCAGTACAAAAGGTCTATGTGCTGTCGCACATAGACCTTTCTGTCTATGTGCGACAGGAAATACTTGCTGTTGTAGTCAAGTATGTCCTTTGTGCAAGTTCACCGCATCCAAACTCTCTTCGTGTCTTTAATAAACCGACTGTCATACCACTCCCCCACCCAAACCCTGTGTTAAATGAACACCACATTTTCTAAGTTTGTTTCTCTCATACTTAGAGGCCCATGCTACCAGTAGTTCACGTGCTTAGTTTACGTTTTTTTTCCGTTCATCGCTTTGCATTGTACGTGACCATTCTTTATATTGGTGACTGTTCGTGACCCTGGAGACGAACTCAAGGGTCACGAACAGTCAGTCACCATGTGCTTAGAACTAATCCGGTGACTCACTGACTTACATAGGAAATTGTACTCAAAAATTGTTATTATTATTTGCATTTACATGTTTCCAGCTAAACTGAATATTTGTCTGGTGAATCGCGGGAATGATTCTCTGCATTCTGTGCTACCCAGTCGATTAGAATGCAATTTAAAAAAATACTCACCTTTGAGTCCTTAGCAAAATATTTTCGTCCACCAAAACGCCTTGCAATGAATTCGTTGAGAATCAGGATGAGAATCGCATCGAGGAACAAGTGGGCGATAAAAACCACAGTGGCATAGGTCATATGTTCGTGGCTCTCCGTGTTCCAGGTACTCTTCCAAGGAGAAAACAGGATAAATCCGACTTGCCAGAACCAGGTTCCTTGGAACAGCATCATGTATGCAAAGCCAAGCACCGGAAGAATGTGGGACTTTTTCCATATCATCAAAAATCCCATCAAAATTCCGAATTTGATCACATTTCCCAGCAACGTGTGAACCTGCGAGAATAATCTCAAGCTGTTCTCAAATTTAAACTTAGCAGACGTAACTCACGCAAATAATGATATTGTTCTCACCAAGACTTCGAGGGGAGGCATGCCATGCAGGTGATTGGCGAATAGGAGCCATTCCACAGTCACGGCAAATATTCCGAAGACGTCATCAACGTACGGCAGATGAATATATCCCTTATCCGCCAGCATTCCGATGAAAAAGTAGAGGAAGAAACCAAGGAACATGCACACGTGTTGGGCATTTCCTGGAGTGTCCCACTTCCAGTTTTTATCAAATCCAGTTATGATTTCCCCTATAGGAGAGAGGAAAGAACCTAAATGATCATTGTATTTGTGCTGAATAAATGAGATGAGGACCGCATCCGCTTCGAAAGTCTTGCAACAATTTCTTCTCTTGAAATCTTCCAAAAATGTCAGTGGGAAAACGTAATATTTCGGATCGCGTAATATCTTCACGACATGGCGTGCCACGGATGTTACAGGGGCGAGTATTTAGGTGGCAGTCTTGTACCATCTGTGGAGCACAATTTTTCTCGGCAGTTTGAATTCTCAATGATTCCTATTTGTAAAAAAAAAATGACAATGTTACTCAAGGTAAGTAAGTACACTAAACGATTTTTTCGTCCACTCTTCTTTGCAAGCACACTTCAGAACTCATTCAATCCTACGTATCACCAAAAGAAAAAGGCACTACAAGTCAAGATATGTCTGGTTTCTCAAGTTTTATCCTATGCTTCTTGAAAGCATCGCCACTCTCGCTAGCCGCCAGCCGCCAACACATTCACTTGCACAAATGTGTCTAATTCTATATAAGTATTACCATACTTTACCAGTCGCAATCATAATACCGTGTACAAAATGTAATGCTGCCGTTTGCTCCTTTCTGTCACATGATGGATAGCAAGATTGTGAGAGATGACATAGCATTAGAATAGGCCTCCAGAGATTAGAGAGGGGCGTGTAAGGTCTCCTAATTCGGCCTAAGCCTGTCTCTCCTTTTGGAGAATGGAAATTACTCGTTCAAATTATACGCAGCTTCTCCAGACGACAGTTGAAGTTTATTCACTATCCAGTGATGGGGAATTTTTAAGAAAAAAATGGAAGTGTGCCGTTATAAGGAGGTGCATGTGGTCGGAAGTCAGAAAAACCTCGCGAACAATGTTTCAGTGTTTTGGGACAATAATGCGACCTGACGGTACATAGAAGCTATACTTGTTAAAAATAGAAATGATTGGATTTAATAATGGATTATTTTTCATTACTTTTCAAGACGATGTACTGTAGTTAGTGTATTCTGAGGCACGGACCATTAGCAGCGTGGATTGAAACTCATCAAAACCAGTACCAACACTTTCCAAAGTTGTCATTTCTGAATCACCATGCGAAATTTCACGTTTCTGGCACCAATATTGTGAGAGTCATTTTAGAAATAGTCATTGTACATGCACTTTTTATAAGTCGAAAAAATTGAATTCAAAGTTTTGCATGGTTTCACCATACAAATAAGTCCAAATTTTACTTAAAAACCCTTCAGCTCTGTATAGCACGCCTTGCTGCTTCTTTTGTGCAGCTTTTTCTTTGACTTCCTGAAGCTTCATGGCCTCCTTTCTGCTGAAGAAATGCATTATTTGGCAAGACATACCCGTTCAAAAATGGTTTTTCCTTTTTACGAAAATATTTGCTATTATTAGAATATGGGCCAAAAATGTGAGGAATCATGATCGCAAGATACTGAAACTAGGTTTTTCTGAAAGATGAATGTTGTGAAAATCTATTGCTGCAATAATAAATTGTTGGAAAAATTATTAGTTTTTCGAGATCTTTTGCTCATAGTTTCCCCTTAAAGAGAAAATTTGTGTACATTTAATTTTTTTTTAAATGATAAGAAAAATATATCCATGTTAGAGCGATGCGTTTCGATTTAGAGCCCTCTGCGATATAGCGGCAAAATCAGCTGGGATCCGGTATATCGAGAGTTGACTGTATTCTTAATTAACTGCATTTTAATATATATACCCAGGTAACACATCCATGTGGAAACAACATCGAAGCAATGTTTCATGGCAACATTTACAAGGTTGAAACAACATTGAGGTGCCACATTGATCCAATATGAAGATGTCATTTCTGTCAACATTTTTTCAACATTCCTTGTTAATGTTAAAACAATATTGATGGCAACATTCAATATAATTTCCACCTTGCATCAACATTCATTCAATATTCCTTAAAGATTTCCTGGTAATTAGGTTCCTTCATGGTTGAAAGTAGAGAATAATTCATCAAGATGAATCGCATGACCTATGGATGATGAACTATATATACTAAAGAAGATAAATCCTCTTTAGTTTGTATAGGTCAATACATAGTACTGAGAACTTTGAGAAGATGGGTCCTATTCAGCAGCACCGAAACTTCGTGTGCCTGAATAGAATCCAATAATTGTGGATAAACATCCTCAGCTTCTCTTTTCGAGGATTTGTGAATGGATCACTTCAAGTTATTTCTATGTGTGGTCTACATGTCTCTTATCGCCTAGACTTCTATGCGCCCTCACCAAACATGAACATTTAATTTGTTTCAGAATCAGATGCTGCAATCAGAACATCATGATTCCACATTTCTCTAATATATGTGTTCATTAATTACGTAATAAAAAGAGGAAAGTGGGAAGAAAACACTTTAATGGCAGGTGACAGATCCGTAATTGCATTAGGAGGCTACAGGGTAACATGGATACCATCTAGTGAGGGCTCTTGGTATTTCATTATGATCGCGCCTAGACTGCAATACCCTGCTTACATAACGTCCATAAAAGGATGCAAGACGACTCGGCGATGACCGTAGGATAATTGGAAATGGTATATATATTTGTTTCCGAACAAAAAAAATGCAATATTCAAATTACATGATAATTGACGGCATGCAACTCAATAGATGAGGAATCTCACTTTTTCAACATTGAAACCATGTTGTGGTAGGTTGAAAGTACTCTGAAAACCTATTGGAGAGGTCCAACTCTTCATCATTTTAAGAGGGGGTAACAATGATGCCACATCTAAGAAATGTAATCTGAATATTCCCAAATTGGAATCCACAATGGGATGTGACAACATTCTATCAACATTGAAACAATGTTCACCTTCAACCCTCAACATTCGCACACCCAATCCACATCCAATCAATGTTGATTCAATGTTCTGTGTTACCTGGGTAGATACCACTCATGGGTTAGCAAAACACGGTCTCGATTTTATTTTAACATGGAGTTACCCCTTTGTCGCTACAGAAAATAGGCTTCACCAACCGACGTGAGATGGCACCTAGCCGCCGATTTATATATTTTTACCCTAATGCCCCCCGGAATGAGTCCTCTGTATTTTTCATACTATACTAGATCTCTTCCCACGTACAACTTAAGGGGAGGCTTTGGAATTTCTAGATAAACGCGCTTGGAGAGATAACTTGGCGGAAGGAGACTTCGGATACTTCTGGCGAGGAAACATGCTGAACATCCCACTTCACTTCATGGCGTTCGCACGGTCCGGGAAATTTTCATTTATTTTAGAGATAAAATGGCTTCTTTATCAGTCTGCGTGGGTGTGTCTGGCGCGGCTCCTGCGAAGGAGACCGCTCTGAGGTTCATGACTGACTCCTTTTCTGTCATTTTCTGGACCGAACCAGGTGTCTCGTTCAAGAACTCACCATGGGTTCAGGCTAAAAAAAAAGTCAGCTACAGCTTCACATGGAGTCAACCAAGGATGGTTTTTCTTTCCAGAGTACTTTCAAGCTCTCAGAGGTAGAACAGAAGATGTCAACAATGCTAGATAATTATTATATCAGAGCAACTTCAACATGAGGAAAAGGAGGAGCAATGCCAAAACGTTGACACTTCAATGGACTCGGTCGCCAAAAGAAGAATGTCCTCGAATCCTCCTAGATATTTGGAAATATAACAAAGAAAATGAAATATGTCCTCAGAAAAGACATTGAGAGAAGAATGACGGGTTCTGAATATGAAGTTCTTCCATGAAGATGAATGTGAGTTGCGAAGGTATTTAATTTTTTTCGAGCAGGTCTTTTTGCAAAACTATGACTCATTATATTCAATACATACCTAAGTCCTGAGTTTATTACAGGGGTGGCCAAACCGCGGCCCCCGGACCGGTCAAGTGTGGCTCGCTGTGAACTGTTGGGTGGAGAGCAAATGCGTCTCATGTGTTGCAAAGGACATATCACCCACCAATAATAAAGAACTCGTCACAAAAGCCTGCAGAAATATTGGCTCCATCACCAGATCACAATGAATCTTTTCCAAATTAGAGTCAATCACCAAATTCTTATTTTTTTATTTCGCCAAATACGGTTGTACCATCACAGGTGCTTTTCTCATCAAATTTGTATGAGCCCGTAGAAAATCATGCTTCCATGAATAACATGAACATTTCCAGCAATTGCAAACCTATTGAAGGATGGATTCTTCTTCAATTCTGGTTAGACCTGTGATGGCAAGAGGAGATTTTAAAATCCTATCAAACCTCCAGGAACTTCGGGGGAGGACCTGTTTAATTGGTCTCCCTGCGTCTGTGAACATGTATGGAAGTTCAGTAATGCGCTGAATCACAATATCTGCGTTTCTGTGCATTAAAGGTGACATGGCTACTGTAACGTATGCCGGCCTGTGACCGTGCAACGTCCAGTGTATCAGTAGAGAGTCAAGGCCGGAAGGAAACTGAAGGAGGGGAACTAAAACATCCATCAACTCGTGGAGGGAGGTGAACCCAGTGTTTGGGGTCAACCAACCCGTGGAAGGGCTCCTTACAGTTTAAATGCAGGATCTTTCCTTCTCGAATGTGCACTGTACAAGGAGCCATAACATCATTATGGGAATGGGTATCAAAGTCCCTCCAATCAAGTTTAATCGCCAAAACCTATCCTCCAATCCAGCAAGATTTCAGCTGAAGATCCCTCCCTCGATCCCTCACTCCGAGGTGACTGAAGAGCTCGAACTCGAGCTCGAAGAACTGAAGTTAGTACCGATTTGACCGGGGTACTCGGGCCCTTTTGATCGTGGGTGCTCTGAAACTGGCCACCTTTCTCTCTAAAAAAAAAAGCATACAGAGGAAAAACGTTTAGTTAGAGGATCTTTTCGCTTTGATCGTAGTGAGTTTTCCCCAGAACTTGCAGGTTTTATCTGGAAGTGAAGATCAGCCCTTTGTCATTGAAAGTACTGTAAAGGGGTTGGACCGGTTGTTTGGCTAACATTTCTATTTGTCTTTTTTTATTTGTCTTTTTTTATTCGTTTTTTTTAAATACTTTTTTTGTTTTCTTGAATTACGCCTTAGTTACTCACGCTCGAATTTGAATTGGCACGGACCTGATTTCCTGGAAAGGAATTCATTGTAGTGGAATCGGGGCGCGTTAAGGTAAAAGTTTTATTTTAACTTAATTAATATTTGATATTCTCATAAATCCAACACACTACGCCCCGTGCCCGTTACACAACCAACAACTTTAAGGTTTGAAGTTCGGAAAAGTGTGCAAGGGTATCTAACCAGCAAACTTGGACATTGGGCCACTTCAAGGGAGCAAGACTCTCTCTCTGGGTTGTCAAGGCTCTGTATTTGGAATGCACTTGTCCAGTTAGATAGAAGCATGCATTTGCATGCTTTCATCCAACTGTGATGGATTTCACTGGGCATGCAAACCCACATCCTGGAGGTCACCGTTCCTTTGGAAGCTGGATCTTTTTCAATTGGACAGAAATGAGAGAAGGACCAAAGCCTGCATCTGCCCTGCAGGAACATCAAATGAGAAATTACTTATTTTCTCTTGGGATGTGAAATGTCGCGATAATTTGGTGCATATTTGATTAAGTTTTATTATCATTTCACGGCGTTTAGAGAAAACACTGAGGGAGAAATTGGAGTTAGATTCATCAAGTCAGATGTTGAAATCATTTAATGACGATAATAAGAATTTGGTGTTGTAAATGAACTGTGACCAAATGAAAAATTCTGATGAGGAATCACCAGAATGACTTTCTTTGTGACGGAGTCGGTGTTATTTGGTGATGAATTAAATGCTGTTTCAATACTGGGGACCATAGGCGACTTAAAAGCGTGCATACCCTGTTATATGTGATATAACTGTGGCATAGAAAACAAAGGATTTCTCTCTCATTTGATGATTTGAGCGTTCACTACATTCACTCGGAACCGAAATTTTTCCAATTTTTTGACCGATCTGTGTTCTCACGCATATCTGTAAATTCAGAATGTCTGTAAAGGTGATTGGGTTAATATGCAGACACTGTTGACATTAAAACTTGTGTCTGAATGTGTGTAAAAAAAATATGTCTAAATTGTACACTATCAATAATGCTGCAATGCAGAAATTCACTTATTAATCAAGGAAGATAAACGAGGTATAGGTATGAAAACGAGGTCGACTGATAGGCTCTGTCGACCGATAGGCATGATAAGAAGAGGCGTGATCACTCAATTTCACCACTCAATTCACACAAGATGCGAATCTGTATGTAAAATTGGAGGTGTTGATTGGAAGTGTTGAAGTTTGGCCACTCCTGGTCTATTATATATGTATATTGGGCACTTATAAGTATTACTACTACGTGATAATGGGCAATAATTGTTGCATACAGGTAAATGCAGAAAAAAGACGAACCCGTGATTCCAACGAGACAGCAGAAGCAGATGAATCCAGCATCAAGACCTTGTCTTCCACGTAAGGGAAATCGTATTCCAGCTCGGAATGGAGGCGAAGAAAGATCGAGCCGACTACGATGCCATCGAACAAGATTGTTCCATATGATCCATAGTGATGTAATCAAGAAGAAGGATCCGGGTGTGAGATGTCCAGCAAATGATCCCATATCTATCGGTTCTTTCCCCTGATGAATAGTAATGCATCATTAAGAGTATATGTAAAACTTTTTAGCAATTTCTAGACCAATGAACAACCGCGGATGAAAATAGAAACAACGTATTCATGCGGCATACCAAGCCAGATGAACTTACGTCGCGAACATGTTCAACGTCAACAGGTAGATCTTAGTCAAAGACTAAGAAAAGAGGGATTTCAAAATTAAACCAATCCTATTGGAGTATGATTGTATTATCAACATTCACAGATTCATCTTAACTTGTTTTCTTCAGGTGGAACTTTTCAAAGACTCCATACGGTTGTAAAACATTCATTTATAAATGATGTTAGGCAAAAAATGGAGAAAAGTTATAACGAAAACAAATTATTCTAATGATTTCTGTAAACCTTCAAAATGTCTATATGGTTGGTGTGCGTGACTTTTGGATCACCCTGTCTATTAAATAGGACTGGGGCAAGTACTGATCCCTGCGGCAGACCGTTATTTAGTATACAAGGTCTACTCGCCATGCTTTCAAGGTGCACGCGGAAACGCCTGTTGGCCAACAAGGAGGAGAGGAGTCGCAGCGTCTGGCGACATCTTTGACACCTTCAGCAGCAAGCCTTCTCGCCATACGCTATTGTAAACCGCTGAAAGATTAATGAAAGCGGCGCCTGTTATGCTCTTGCGCTGATACCCCTCTTCGATGTGAGGATTAAGCACCAGTACCTGGTCGCAAGCACTGCGTTAAGGCCGAAACCCAGCTTGTTCAGGTGGGATATGTTCCTCGAAGATGGGTGACATACGGGTTAGTAACATCCTTTCGAGAAGTTTGCATGTTGTGCTGAGGAGGGAAATCGGCCTGAAGTTCTTTGAGTCATCAGTTGACTTCCCGACCTTTGGAATGGTGATAACTTTCGCTTGTCGCCATTTCTTTGGTATTTTTCCCGAGGCGAGTACAATTTGGCGAGCCACCGGCGTCCATTTACGGCAAGGTTTTTCAGGAATTCGCGATAGATCCCGTCTAGTCCTGCGACCTTGCCCGATCTTGTTGCTTTTACCTCGTAGTTTCTCGGTGACCTCTTCTTCAGTGAAGGGTGATGAGAGGGCTGATGGTGCACATTTCGCCATGGATTGATGGAGCTGTACCTTCACTCTCCGTCCAGTGTGACGGTCTGTTGGCGTCTTTCCGCTAATTAGCATCTGGGCTGCGATGGCATTTTCTGATGCGTGAGAAGTTTTGTTCTTTGGCGGCGGTGCGTCTCCGAGGTGTCTCAGGAGACGCCAGGCTTTACGACTTGAATGCGTGAAGTCCATTGACTCCATCGCTTCCGTCCACCTT